GTTTCCATTTTTAGCTTGCGACCGCCGTTCGGAGTTTTTTTTTTTTTTTTTTAATAATACCCAAGGAATATAATTGTGGCCTAATGAACATAAAAATGACAGACTTTCCTCAAAATGCTTAGAAAATGCCTCTGAAATGGGACCGCTTAACCTTATCCCTCCGTCCTAACCTGAAATATTCTGAATCCTTTACATGATTTTAGCGATATGAGATGACAATTAATTGTTGTACAGAGCAAGTGCGAGAGTTATGCGTAATTTGAGTATTTTTTCTCTGGTTTTCGTTCATCACAAAATTGTTTATCGCACAAATTATTTTTACGAAACAATCTCTCTTGCCATTTGACTTTCACTGTGCTTATGTAATTTACTGGCAATGCTTCATTATATATATATATATGTAATGAGTTGGTTATTTTATTTTGATAGTTTACCCTACAAATATCCACCGTTTTCTGTGATGTTTCTGTGTCGTTTTCTCCAAAAGTATATATGGAGAAATCTGCAATAACTTTACTGACATTATTACATCTAAATTGACACTTTAATAACCTCTACCATCTCTAGTAATTTATCTAAACTGATTGCTTATTTACAATTTTCTTCTCTCAAATAGAGGTATTATTTACAGCAGTACTGAAGAGAAATGCTGACGCATTTATATGTGAATTAGGTACATATTGGTAAATTATCAAAGAAAATTCTTGTGTATAGTGTTCATATGCCTTAGATGCATTCACGTGTATTATAGGATAACCCGCTTGATTTCCTACAAATCCACAAATATCGACAATTACTTTAAATGTAGAGAGAATAGGAATAAAGATTGGAGGGTGGATAAGGGAGTGGTGCATTCTCTTGGGGCATGTTGCGGAAGTTTTGGATGTCTTCAAGAGTTTCTAGAAGGGAGTTGAGTGGGGACGTCTGAGAATCGTGGTTTTTCTTATGTGGTGGGAAAGAGGGGATAGATAGCCGAGGAGCAGAGGAAGAAGTGGGTGTAGGAGAGGATGAAGGAGAGAAAATGGAGTAGAACGTTGAGATTGCATGCTGCGACAGGTAAAGTGAAAACGATGGATAGGCACTAGGGACGTGGTATAGATTAGAGTATCTGGATTTAGTCTGGGAAAGGAATTGGACTGAGGGTGAGGGAGTAGGGTAGGTTGGTTTGAGGTAGACGGAAGATACAGAGCCATCTTGAGAAGAGAGGGGACAAGAGCCAAGGAGTTTGGGAATAGGTGGAGAGAGAATAAACTCGTCAGTCTGGCCTCACATAATGGTTGATTAAAAAGCTAAATAAATGTGCTAGACATCTACGGTTATATAGCACTAAAGGAAAGTATATATAAGGAGGGGTGAAGGGTGATAGCTCCTATGCGTCAACTATCTAGAGTAGTCTTGAAAGGTTAAAGATGAGTAAAGGAGTTGATGTGTGAATGGGTTATGATGGGTCTAGGTAAGGGAATTACATAAGGGTTTCACGTGTGTATCCAGGAGGGAGTGGAAATGATAGAGGGGATGGAGGGAGAGCGAATGTACGTGTAGTTGGAGTTGAGGGTGGGGGTTATGTTGGGAGTTCGAGGAAGTGGTGTACGGGTATGAGTAGGAGGAGGAGGAGTGTTGGGAGGATGGATATCGGAAGTAATTGGAGTTGAGGGGGATGGGTTGTGTTGGGAGGCAGTAGGAGGAAGGGGTGTAGGGGGATATGAGTAGGAGGAGGATGGATATCGGCAGTCACTTCGAGTGTGGAGGGAGCATTAGGTGTGGAAGTCTGTCTCAAGCATATAGCTTTGAATATCTTCTATGTTTTTTCCAGTGGAGTTGGTTGGAGGGGAAGAAGAGGCTGGTGTTTGAGGAATAAAGGCAAAGATAGTTTGAGGTAAGTGTGTGGTAGGCGAAGAAAGGGTGGAACGTTTAGTCTGTCTGCTGCAGGTAGTGCGGGGAGGAAGAGGAGACGGTGTTGGGGCAGTAGTTGAGATTGGAGCTGTAGTTGATATTGGTGTCTGGATTTAGCGTGGCAAAAGAATTTGGCTGGGGAAGGTAGGATGTAGAAGTGGAAATGGGAAAGTAAGTAGGTATAGGGGAGAGTGTAGTAACATCCTGGGTTGGAGGGGGAGGGTCAGAGAGAGCGACATTACTAGAGTAGGGGGTATGAAAGAAACCTAGTCGGTGTACTTCCTGTCTGGCTTCGCGCAGAGTGAGACCATTTTTGTATCTGAGAGTTGCTACCTCAGACTCAAACTTGTAAGTGGGACAGCCTCTATAATATACATTATGGGGGCCATTGCGGTTAGCACATGTGCGTATTTGTGCATGGCAGTTTGATCGGTTATGAACGGGTTGGGCACATTGGGGGTATCGGTCTGTGGAACGGCAGTGTTTGGCAGGATGTCAAAGCGCGCCAACAATTTTGACATTGACGGGGAGGTCATGTGTACGGAAAGTAATTTTAGCAATGTTGGTGGGTTTCTTTCGATGACCTCTACGAGGAATGGAATAGCAATGTACTGATATCACATCACAGTCTTTGAGGCAGCCGAGTAATTACTCTCCACAATCTGACCAATCGATATCCAAAGGGCAGCTTGCTCGAGAGATAGTGACAGTTCTAGTACAAGTATTAAGAGTTGGATGAGGTTCTTCAGGAATGGAGTTGCCAGAAAAATCAGTTAGATTTGATAATGCTATAGCTTCAGTTTCAGATGTAAATGTAACGAGATGGAACAAGCAGATTGGGTACGGAAGGGGACTCTGCCCACTTGGAAACTAGGAGACATTGTTGAAAGAGGAATGTTGCCTGAGTGAGGAGCTGTAGGGGGGATCACGAAAAATCGGTCCCATTTGGCTGGGCTAAATAGAGTATTTAAGGTATTGGTAGAGTTGTGGGTGGTAGAAGGACAGGGGCGTGTGGAATAAGGAGTATTGTTGAGGGGGTATATGGAGATGGAGAATAAGGCTTTAAGGTAGTAATGAGGGAAGATGAGGTGATTGGTGAAGAAGGCTGTGGGGGTAGAGCTGATGAAGTTGAGGAAGTTGGGAGAGTAGGAGTCTCGACTTGGGTGGATAATGCACTAGTAGGCATTGAGGAGTGGGTAGTAGTTGTAATGTTCAGAGTCGTGGTCAAAGGAGAGCCTGGGGTCGGGGAACCAGGAGAGTTTGAATTGGTGGGGCTATTTGATAAAGGGGCAAGCCTCATTACCTCTAATATGGGTATTACTTCTTCATTACTGGCCATGGGAAGCCTTGGCTAAATAAACAGTTCACCCCTCAGGGTCCCCTTGAGGGGTAAGAGCTAAACAACAAAACGTTAATACCGTGCCCAGGACTGGCACCTTAGGAAGTAGATAGTAGAAGGGGTTGGAGAAGGGACCGAAATGAAAGAGCTGGAGGGAGAAAAGACCATGCAAAATTAGTTGAGTCGAGGGTTGAGGCCCAAGGCAGGGGAGATCCCTGCACTGGGTCTGTCTCCGTCTCCTAAGCCCCCCCACGACAACGGGCAAGGGATTGGAGGGCTGGCCTTACATAGAGTGAGGCCTAGTTTGAATCTGAGAACTGCTACCTCAAATTCGACCTTATAGGCAAAGGCATCTCCTATAAAATATATTATGGGAGCTACCACAATTTGCACATGTGTGTGACTGAGCAGAGCAATTTGAACTGTCATGACCAGGTTGGGCACATAGACGGCAGCAAGCTGTAGAGCGAGTGTTTGGCTGGTTGGCTAGAACGCTAACATTTCTGACTGACGGGGACGGCTTTGGTATGGCCAGACAGAGAAGGACACTCCACCAATATAAACTTCACAGGGGAGGTCATGTCTACGGAAGCTAATCCTGGTAATATTGGTGTTGGATTTATGCTGACCACTGGGAGGAATAGTGTAGCACTGTACTGCCACTGCATCATAGTAAATAAGGCAGGCGAGCAGGTCATTTTCACTGTCTGAACAGTCCTTGTCTTAGGGCAATCAGTTGGGGAGATGCTAAGTTTTGGTACAAGTATTAAGGGGAGGAGTAAGGTAAGGCTGGAATAGGTTTGCCAGTGAGGTCAGTCAGGGTAGATAGTGGACAATCTTGGGTCTCAGATGTAACGATCGGAACGACTGCAGAGTAAGGGGCTGTAGTGGGGAATCACACAGAATCGAAAATGCCATGGTCAAAGGAGAGACAGAGGTCAGGAAACCAAAGAAGTCAAATTTGGATAGGCTAATTGATGAATGGGAAACATTTAATGCTAAAAAATCTTCAATATGGGCCATGGCGAGCCTAAAATATGTGGGGAGGAGAAACGGACTGCCCCTCAGGGTCCCCAAAAGGGGTATGGGCTAGGCAATCAACCAAGGGAATACCGTGCCCATGGCTCCTGGAGGCCGTCCAAGAGTTACACAAAGCCAACCTTTCATCCTTTCAGCACGGCTCTCACACTTTGGGAAGTGGACAGAAGGGGATGAAGAAGAGAAGGAAAAGGAAAGGGGAGAAGAAGAGACCATGCAAAATTAGCTGAAGCAAGGGTTGAGATTCAAAGTAGGGGTGATCCCTTCAATAGGCCTCAGTCTCCGTCTCCTACGTCCCAAACGACTACAACGGGCAAAACTAAAGTAAATAGAAACAAAATAATATTACAGCAGTTTTGATTTTAATGGCAAAGCATGTTATAACTTTCTATCATTGTATCTTTTACTTCTCTTTTTCTTTTACTAATAGCTCCATTGTTCATTTCTGTTAAGAGTCTGTAACAATGCAGAACTACATAAAGAGGAACAAGCAAGTTTATAGGAAAGGAAATTATAGACAATCTATATTGATGATATCCGAAAATCAGATTGCCTGTAAACTGAAGCCATTTTCAAATTTTATTGAAGTTGTAAGTTATAACTTCCATCTTATAATATACTGCTGCAAAAGTCCAAAAGGTCTAAAATAATCCTGCAATACTTTATGCCCCGAATTTGGTGTCTACAGTCTTTTTAATTTTTTTTTCACATGGTTAAATTACAAAAGAAAAGTAAATGTATTTTTATATCAAAAGTCTTACAAAGTCTGTACAAAGCTTGTAATTGAATAAGAAATAAAGAGAACACAAAGCAAAGATTCTTTGCTGTGAACTTCAGCTTTGAGGACACAAGTATCAAATACTGTATATTTTTGTCTTCAAGATATATGGCTAAATACACATTCTAATAAACATTGTTTATTTGAAGCCATCTCAGTAAAATTGACAATCTCTCACTCTCACCTTCACATAAAAGAATCCCACTTAAATTCTTAAAAACAATTGTAAAAATAAATAACAATATTACTTCAGTTCTTGTTACTGCATTACAAGACAAAATACATGGCCTTTGAGCAGCCACAGACAAACCAACATTTAAGGCGCATCTGCACAGAAAAAATGAAAGAATGGAACTTACTGAATAAAACACATCATTCACTTTTCCAAAGCTATCATACTTTTCAATGTTTCTTTGTTTCACCACTTTTAAACCAGAGACTCGCAGGGCCTTGTTTTGAGTAAATCGGTGCCCAACCTTTGATGTAGTAATGAATTTCAATCAGTTAGGATAGCATATGTGTCCACTAGTTTCATTGGCTGGTAGACGAACTTTGAACAAGGCCACTTGAGTATCATGTTTCGATCAGGTTGTTAAAGAAGGAAAAAAAAAAAAAAAATCTGTAGCACATTATAAAAAAAAAAACTATTGTAAAAGGAAGAGGTTCAAGATACAGATACTGATATTGAGGACAACCAGATGCTTTTCCTATTTAAAAACACAGCCACTGACACACTCCTTCAAGCATTATGGGATCTTGGGGAGAATCTTCTGTTGTACGATCTTTCCATATCCACCTCGTCCACTGTCGTAGTCTGTGCGGTATTCATCACGAACCTGGAACAAAATTTGTAAGACTCAATGATAAGTACATTGTGAGTGTAGATCACATTATGTTACATGAGTTAGTTCACAAGTGACTTTTCTAGTATATGATTTTCAATGAAAAGGGCTCAAAAACTTTAGAGATAAACACCAAAAGGTAACTTTTTTTTGTCCATCTTCAGCAATTAGTCTTGTACATTAATGACAAAGAATTAGATTGTTCATATTCTAAATCCTATTTGCTCAGCCTCAAAGATCAAAGAAAACATGTTATTATGGGATTTTACTGCAGAAAGATGTTCTTTATCCATGTAGTAGGGCACATGATACATTTTGTGAATTTCATGTGATCAGCCATGAAGGAATCAATGACTAGGCCTAATGTGACCTCATTTTATTTCCCTATTCCTTGAATTTTTAAAAATATTTTTTCTAAAATTAATAATATTGGTAGTTACTATCATTAGATAAAATCATTCTCATAATGTTATCAAAATACAAAAACACAATAAGAAATAGAAATCATCTTTCCAAAAACCTCAGAAAATGGTAAGCAGGCATGTAAGGATAGTAATTGACTCCTAGGTGAATAGTACTTGTGGAGTCACCTAAGTGTAAACACAATTAATAAACTATGAGACAAAACAACACTTGTTTGGTGTATATAATATTTTTAAGATGAACATAAAGAAAACTGTATTGTTGCCTCTGTAAAATCCTATTTGCTCTACTTTACAATCACCTGTAATAAAGATGAATTGACCATATTTTTTTTTTTACTTTTTGTTAAAAATTGTACAAAGCCTGGGGTTTGCTAGGGAATGGTGAATAATTGCCTATGATTAAAAACACTAATACATAGAGTTATTTCTCATACCTAATAGATTAATGCAATAAACCTATAAACACTGTATAATAACACTCTCAAAACAATATCAACCCTAATCAAACCCCAATGAAATTTTTCAGGTACCTTTATATATAATGAAATTTTAATCAAAAGTCAAGCACACAATATAAAGCAAGGATAAAATACCTGTCCACCACTCTTTCCTCGCCCATACTGTCGTCCCTCAATGAAACCTGCATCCCAATCTGTACGAACAATGCGGTCATCAAGGCGAGTTCCGTTGATGTACCTCATGCACTGCTCCGATTCTTCCCTGTAAAATAAATATGGGAGAGAAATTAATCAGTAATAATTATAAAATTGGTTATGTTATTATTATTACTACACAGTTTGTGCTGGGATGGCATGACATACATGGCATGTCCAGAGGATTAAATAACTAATCCTACTTGTCACTCCTCTTTGCCCTTTCCTTTGATTTTTGTAGACTTTTTAAAAATCTATTGCTGTTAGTATTTTAATGAAATTATAATAATTACATAGTTAATAATAATCAAAACTAAAACAATATCAAAGGCATTACATATATATTTTCCAAAAAAAAATTAGGAACTGGGTTATCAGGTTAGGTCATATCAGGTCTAGTAATAGACTCCTTGGTGTCTGAGCCCTTGTAGAGCCATCTCTGTGCAACAAAATTCACAAAGAACGGTATATACAAATACCTGTAAACAAAGGCCTAAATCTGCATTATCAATAAACTATGTTTGCAAAAAATGGACTCAATATTTAGCCTAACAACAACAGACTGATGCTAACTCAAACCCTTCCAGGTATTTATATGTTCTTAAACCCAATAAACTGCTGCCTACCACACACCACATGATGGAAAGTATGTAGCTCTGACACACACCATAGGAAAGCTTTTTCTAAAGTGGCTGCATTATATATTGCTTCCATAAGCAACAAAAGTAAACAAAACATTCCTTAAAGAGCAGTGATGATGAACAGTGTTAAAAGTCAAAATGACCTGCTAATTGAAAAAAAGTTACCATCTCATGTGGTAAGGCTAACCTAACCTAACACACATTCGTAAGATTTATGATCAATTATTATAGAACAAATAAACTTACCTTGTAAAATACTCAACGAAACAAAATCCACATGGAGTCCTCTTAACCTTGTCAAGCCCCATAATGATCCTCTTTACATCTCCAGCACGGCCAAACAGCTCATAAAGTTGTTCTTCAGTAGTATAAAAGGAAAGGTTGCCCACATACAGCGTGCTGGATGTGCGTAGGAGTCTTTCTTGCTCCGACCGTGAACCCTGGAAAAGTAAAAGATACTAGTGTTGGTCTTATACCATTTGTCTTAAAACTATCTAGGTTAATCTTTACAGTATGGATGCACTAACCTAGGGCTAAGTGAATGATATTCTTGTTGACATTAAAAGTTGTAGTTGTCAGTACATGAAATGATCTGCAGACACAAATGTTAATACCAAAAATTGAGGAAAATCAGCACAATGTTTGGTAGGGGGTGTTGGGGCAGAGCCCTCCCATCAACCCTCCCCTCAGTCAGTCTCCCAGTCACGGCAATTCAGATTTTTTATATAACATTTGTGACACAGAGTTGGGGGACTTAGTCTCTGGCAAGTGTGTCCATATTGTAAAGAATTACTGCTATCTAAATTACTATTATCAATATTGAAGTTTGCAAGGAAGGTAATATTTTTCTTGGCAGGTAATCGTTTAAACCAAAATCTAAGGATTTCTGCCATTTCTGGTTTGCTGATGAAATTTCAGGAAGCTGGGCATACATTTATATGAAACTACAATTTGCATTTTTCATATGCCAGATTTTGTCTTGTTTTTTTAAATACGATATAAAATTTATGTCAACCAAACACACAACTCTGAAAAACTAAGTAATAAATGGTATTTCTCTATTGCTTTTCTTACTTTATGAAAAGGCAGACACTTTATAACAATTACATTCTCCTAAAAAACAATTTTGTCAATACCAGTTGTAATATTCAGTTCTAAATGAAGTACTATGCTATGAATATATTGCATTTTTATTGCATGCAAAATAAGACTGCATAGTTTGACTTGATTTTGAACTAAACATCATCATTCACTCAATATTCTGATATATCCTAACTGAGATGTCCATTTGCTTTCACTGCCAGCAGATAGGCTATTGTTAGTATATATATTTGATATCTGGGAAGAAAATAGAGAAGATAATTTGGAATATAACTAAATTTTGCACTCTCATTGAAACAAATAATAACTGTAGATGCTTACCATATAATTCCCTTAATTGCTGTGAAATCCCATAAATTACTTGCCGAATAAAAACATAGCTGCATTTCCATCTATTTGTCATTCAACAAAGGGTTAGTATGTCTGCTTTAAGGCTTAGTAAGCTGAAATTGTGGGGCAAAATATTTAAAATATACACAGAATCAGTTACCTTATTGTCTGTGACCACCCCAAGGGAGACTGTTGCCCCCTAAACCACACCAAGGAAATAAAAAAAATCCTCCGCGTATTTACGGCAGAAGAGAGCGTCGAACAGACTTACCAGGATGGAAAGTATGGCAGATGCACACCTAAGATATCTGTTTGAGTTCCTGGTTGCACACCTGAGTGATTTAGTCAACGATCGAAATAGTTATGTAACATCAATATGGAACAAGGAACTTACTATGAGATTGAAGCCCTTTCAAGCATTTTGCTATCTGAAAAGTTTCAGGATGCGTACTCTTGAAGTGCACACTTGGTAACTGTTGCACACTGCACACTTTTATCATGCACGCCCCAGGTCTCGTAAAAAAATGCTGTACTTTTTATACTGGCTATTAGGAGCTCCCACATGTTGGTCATATGCTCTCTGCTGGAGTGAATACATGAAGGATTCTTTGTATTCCATTGCAGGAGTTGGAGGGTGGCAGCCCCGCATAAGGGGGTGGTTGCAGCGGGTACAGCCCCCTGCATAAGCCATTATAGTGACAGATTCTGTGTATATTATTCATATTTCTCCCTGCAATTTCCCTTGAATCTTTCATGTCCTCCCCTGCTATCAGGGCCAAGATTGTCACTAATATGGGGGTTCCGCACAATAATTTCTATATATTTGGATAGTAGAGAGTAAGAGGAAACCATCAATATCAAAATCGTCGCACTCTTTAGGTAGAACTATTCTGTAAAATTACCTTTCCCAATATTGGCTATAACAAATATCTTCATTTTTTTGTAGTTCTACACACTCACAAAAACCTCATCCAAATCACATGGTGTACCAAACACTCTGACTATTGATATCTGGATCCAAACTCTCGCAACTGTTGGTCAGCGCTGGTAAAAACTATCATAAAACAGGAAATACACATCATAAACCGTTCTCCGGTGCCAATGTTGTAAGTAGCGGCGATGCGGTTCTTCCAGCAACATTTATCATGCAAAAAATGGCCATTACCAATGAAATAAGAAAGACCATTTCTTTCACCCCATAACACAAACATTCAATATTCGAGATTTCTCTACGCCGCTCACCTCAAAAAATATTCAAATCTGTCTAAACCTCTCTCCTCCCTTAAGCTTTTATCATACCAACATATTCTCAGAATTTACCCTCTTACAAACTCCGTTGTATTCCCTGTACATGAACATCGACAGAAAACCTCTGCTCACGTGATTACGAGAGAGAAAGTGTCAGGAGGAGCAAAATGACGGAGAAGGGAGGGAGAAAACGAGGCCTGAGATGAATTAGAGAAGGGGAGAGGGAGAGGAGAATCGAGAAGTAAGAGAGGAGAAGATGCGGAATTTGGCTAAATACGAATAAAAACTGTTTTATTGCAGACAAGGAGAACGGAGACGAGAGAGAGAGTATTTACCTTACGTACTAAACTTTTTAAGTGTTGAAACGTCAAAGCAACAACTGTACATATCTTTACTTAGGGTGGTCTTTATCGATGTCGTTCTATCTAATCATCATTCACGCCCTCTCTCACTCAATACACGTGTATCATCTCTCTCTCTGCCTCATTTCTTATCATGTGATTACTCTTAGACACATACTCACTCACAATAATTCATCTAAATAATACTCCATATTTGAGCCTCGTCTTTTTCTCACTGAAGCATAAAAGTCACTAGATTCGAAATTCCAGGTCTGCTCCTCGTATTCCCTTATTGCAACTTTTATTCTGATCTTCTTATATTGAATTTAATTACCCTCCTTACCGGATAATTAAAAATTCTCTGAGATGATAATTCCCACCTTCCTCTTCCTTTATTAAAATATCTCACGCTATACACTAAATTAAAATCCCGTATCGCATAATTAATGAATCTCTATCTCCTCTCCCTCCCCATCCCTTCTCTCCTACGTCTTAGTCTATAGGTCCTCGATTTTTATCACCTCCTTCCCTCACCTCTGATTACAATCCAGTAAACATCAATGCTCGTATTATTTTATCCCACACTCGTTACAACTACTTCCACACTCTATATATCACTCCTCCTCAATATACCTAACTATAACTTCAATAAAACGACTACCTATAATATCCACACCTCCTTACACATACCTTCCTCCCTCGCAAATACATAAACTACATATATATATTTTATTCAAACCTATCACATTCATACGTACGTAATCCTCCCTCACCTCCCGTCTAGTATACATATATGAATAAAAAAAAGGAGAGATAAAGATTGCACAAAACTGAAGAGCAAAAGTTGATAATAAAAATCTCTGAGAGAAAATGCAGGTATATAATTTACATCAAACGAAATGAGCACACTAATAATATAAAATCGACTAATATAATAATAAAAAATATAAATTCATCATTAATAGAATAAATCAAATCACACTCACAATATAAACAACTGAGATTAATGTAGACGATACAATCAACTAGATAAATAATAATAATAATATAATAATAATAATAATAATTGAATCAGTCAAAGAATAATGATGAATAAATATGTACATACAGACATATACTCGAGATAACATACAATGCTAACAAAATAAATAACAATAACACATAATCACCACTCTACAACAACAACAACGCACACACACACACACCACACGCACACACAATCACAACAACTCAACAACTAAACTATATTGAATAATAATAATATAATTAGATTAATAAATGATATATAAATATATAATATTTATATAGATAATAAATTATAAATATAATATATAATATTAAAATATTAATAAATTGATTATAATATATAGATAATTACTAAATTAAATAAAATTAAATAATTAATAGTTAATATATCTAGATAATAATTAAATAAATATATAATATACATATCAAATTATAAATTAATAAATTAGATAATGTTATATATAATAAATTATATCATAATAACAATAATAATTAATATAACAAAGTAAATAATATATATATTAGATAATATATATATAATAGATTAATAATTATATATAATATATAATTAAATTTAATTAATATATAATAATATGGATATATAATTAATATATTAATTAATTAATAATGTAATTATACATAATAATCATTATATGAATAACAATTCCTTAATAATTTAATTCAAGAGCCATACATCACTATCAATTACACTAATAATAATATCAATAATCAATCTTGATATATATCTATCATAATAATAATAATAATATAAATAATATATCATAATGGAATATACATTACATAATAATAAATAATAAATAATCCTCTTCCCTACTTCCTTCTCCTTTTTTCTCTTTCTCTCTCTCCTCTCTCTCTCTTCTCTCTCTCTCTTCCTCTCTCTCTGTCTCTGTCTCTGTCTCTGTCTCTGTCTCTCTGTCCTGTCTCTGTCTCTGTCTCTGTCTCTCTCTCTCTCTCTCTCTTCTCTCTTCTCTCTCTACCTCTCCTCTCTCTCACTACCTCTCCTCTCCTCTCTCGCTATCTATCTCCTTCTCTCTCTCCTTTTTTATAAGCGCGGGTCCACCCCTGGGGTTACTATGGTCCAAGTGACCCGCCTACGCCCAAAAGCAGGGTTGGAGATGCCGATGGGCGGGGGCGCGGGGTAGGGGGGTGTGGGTGGGAGTGGGAGGGGGGGGTTCCGAAGCTTGACCACTGCTTCCATCATCAACGGTTATATCAATTATGTTTTTTTCCTTTCTTTCCTTCCTTTTCTTTTTTTGTGTTGTTTCCTTTCTTACTTTTTTTTTTTTTTTTTTGGTTGAGGGTTAAATGTTTCGGATTTTTTTAAGGCGGGGGGGGGGGGGGGTAAGGAATCTAGACATTCCCAGAAAAAAAAAAAAAAAAAAAATCTTTCCATTC